TGATGTTACGGAGGTGAGGGAAGGCAGAGCGGGTCATGGCTTGGATGTGGGGAAGAAAAGACAGTTGAGGGTCGAACAAGACACCCTAGGTTCCTGACTGGTTTGGTGAGTTGTAGTGAGCAGCCATGGAGGTTGATGCTGCCAGAGCCTGAGGTGCTGAGGCGCTGGCGTGAGCCAATCAGGGGAAAGGTCTCAGACTTGTTCACATTCAATGTCAGGAGAAGAGAGATTCTCTTAACATTGGTTCCACAGATCATGGCTGTTTGTGGCACACTTGTGTGCTTTGTCCACAAATATACAATCACTACACTTGACAATAATTACTTGTGAAGCACTTTGGGTTGTTTCAATGTTATGGATAATAATAATAATCTTTGCATTTGATATAGTGCCTTATCACGTCTTTGAGACGTCTCAAAGTGGTTCACAGAATATACTGTAAAGTGAATTGACTGTATATTTTGTGGGCGAAACGCAGGAACCAATTGCGCACAGTAGTGTCCCACAAATAATCGTGGATTGAGTGACCACATTTTTTTTGTGAAGGGACTATTATCCCAGAAAAAGCGATTCGTCAATCGACTAACAACCAGCTTGCTACTTACTGCTGGGTAAACAGAGGTGTGCGGAGTAAGGAAAATTACCCAACGATTAGCCCTGCCAGGAAATCAAACCCAGGTCCTCTCATTCGTGAGGCGAGTGCTCTAACCACTAAGCTACAGGACTCGGATGTTGCGTCAAATACAAGGCTTACCATTAATTACTACTAAACTGCTAATGTCCCTTGTTGAGATTTACAGCTTAAGCCTACTGCTGGCGGCCAATGAGAACATCCAGAGGTAGAGATTCCACCTGGATCTGGATTAACTCTATCAACATAGCATTTCAACGTGTCAAGAATTCACCAATTTAAATACAGCCTTAATTTTAAATGTAGTTTTTTTGTAAGTACTGTATTTAAAGAACTATAGAAAACTGCTTTCAAACTTACAACTGAATTCAACAAATTCTGGGCATTCTAAAATGCTACTTTAATAGAGTAAATCTGGACCAACCCAGGTGAAATTTTACCCCATATGATCCATTGATAATTATATCTGAGCAGTTAACAGGTCACTTATGGGACCCTATTAGCAAGCATGTGGTATAAGTAATATCACAGCTGTTTGTTGTTAAAGAGTTCAAACTTTCTGTAACTCATTCCAGCTGTGTAACAAAATGTTTTCTGGTGTCTGTCCTAAAATTGCTCTTCAGAACTCTGAACCTGTGTTCACCTATCCTGTTGTCTTGTTGCAGCTACCTCAATACTGTTATATGAAGACACTGAGGTCGATATTCTAGAAGTATGTGATCAAATCATCCAAAACTTTTTTTGTTAAGAGTTCTTGTGATCTTGTGACATGTTATTCAACACTGTAGTCTTGTACACAAATGAATGCAAAAGCAAAGCAACTCACTAGCAACTTTATGCCTCTATGTTCCCACTTATCACATCTATGGCCTTTTATTGCCATACATTGCATTAAAACTTTGCAGAACTTGCCAGTTCCTTTATGAAACCATTTGTACTTCCATATTTCTCCCCATGCCTATTACAAAAGCAAATTATTTTGTGCTTTCAACTTGCTTTTGTTGCCCTGATTATGTCTTCTTCCTGATTCTACCCTGTCTTCAAGTTTTCTGCAGAGCAGAAATGTACACCAACTACATGCAGGAAGAAATGCAGGTAAAAGTGGCCAATGCATGTCTCAGTATTCTGTCCGCTGTCGCATGTTAAGACCTGAGTTACTTCAGTTACAATGACCTGGTAATCGGCAAGGCAATTGTGATGGTCTGGAACCTGATAGAAGTGCTTCAAATTATGAATAGTGTAGATCATGTGGATGTTACACGAATGTGGATGTGACAGAAAACTAGGGGTAGTGCCAAAGTTTAACCCTAACATTTTTGGGGCTTTCAATAAAATACTCTCAACATGATCTTCCTATTCCCCGAATGCATTACTTATTAGTACAACTGGTCACTGGGAGCAGTTTTCCTTCCCACTCAGCTCCTGTTGGGAGATTCCCTCCTCCTAATAGAAGTTGGAAAAGGCCCTGCATTTACATGCTTCACTTGGTGACATCATCTGCAGACATAGTCTTAAGCATGGTGATGGGTTTCCGCAAATGTCAGGCTCCCGATGACCAAAAGAACATTTGGGCTTGGGTTTGCAGGTTTAACAGGAGGCTGAGCATCAAGAGACCATCCCAGTGGCTGGTCTACCCATCCAAATCCAGCCGATAAGCCAACCTGGCTGGCCTGTCATCAGTCTGTCAAAGTCCTGTAGCTCAGTGGTTAGAGCACTCACTTTGCACGTGAGAGACCTGAGTTCAATTCCAGGCAGAGGGCGAAACCTTGGGCAAGTTTCCTTACTCCACACGCCTAATAATAATCCCTCCAAAATAAATAAATAAAATTGGTCATTTTCAATCCATGACTGCTTGTGAGACATTGCTGTGCGCAATTGGCTGCCGCGTTCGCCCACAAATATACAGTCAATTCACTTCACAGTATATTCTGTGAAGCGCTTTGGGATGTCTAGAAGATGTGAAAAGCGCTATATCAAATGCAAGGTTTATTATTATTATGTGAGAGGATTGGGGTTTGATTCCTGGGCAGGGCAAAACGTTGGGCAAGTTTCCTTATCCACACGCCTTTGTTTATCAGCAATAAGTAGGAACCTGGTTGTTAGTGAATTGTCAGATCACTTTTCCGGGGGTAATAATCCCTTCAAAAAATTTTAATAAAAATATGGTCAATCAATCGACGACTGTGGGACACTGCTGTGCACAATTAGCTGCTGCTTTTCGCCCACAAAACATACAGTCAATTCGCTTTACAATATATTCTGTAAACCACTTTGGGACATCTTGAAGACATGATAGGGCGCTATATCAAATGCAAGGCTTAGTATTACTATAATACTATACTATAATAATTATTATTATCAGCAGCAGTACCCTGGAGTACTGTTTGAAGTTTTTTTAAAATAAAGCGAAACATTTCTGAAAACCCGCATCTTCTGAAGTGTGCTTCCTCAAGGGAAAATCTGCGTACAAAAAAAAACAGTCACTGTGCTTTACTGTGAATCCTGTGAAACGCTTTGAGGCGTCCTCCTGATGGGGAAGGCGCTGGGTCAAAATCCAAGAATTATTATTACACAATTACAATTGCTTACTCACATTGCCAAGTTCGAGTCAATGGCAATCCGAAAATCAGAGAGGAAAATAGGCAAAGAAATTGAATGCAAGGGTCATATCTCTGGAAGAAGGTCAACTGCAAAAGTCAAACCATGCCTTGCCAACTTCACAGGTAGAAATCATACAGCCAGGTTTTTTTTTCTTTTTTTTCAAAAAAATCAGAGCCATGAATGTGTGGGAAGTCCCACCTTATTGGGGGTGGTCTGGGCACTGGTAGCTGCAAAGAGTTGTTTTCAGAGCACTGTGTATGGCTACGTTTCCTTGTCTTTCACTGGGACACTGACCTCTGGAAGCCTTTGGCGACACACACACACATTCATGTGATGAGCGCAGAAAAACAGCACAAAGAAAAGCCACTGAGAGAGAGATAGAGAGGAGGAGTGAGAGAGAGATAGAGAGAGAGGAGGAGTGAGAGAGAGAGAGAGAGAGAGAGAGGAGGAGGAGTGAGAGAGAGAGAGATAGAGAGGAGGAGTGAGAGAGAGAGATAGAGAGATAGAGAGGAGTGAGAGAGAGATAGAGAGGAGGAGTGAGATAGAGAAGTATTGAGAGAGATAGAGAGAGAGGAGTGAGAGATAGAGATAGAGGAGGAGTGAGAGAGAGAGAGAGAGAGATAGTGAGGAGTAGTGAGAGATAGAGAGGAGGAGGAGGAGAGAGAGATAGAGAGAGAGGAGTGAGAGAGAGAGAGAGGAGTGAGAGAGAGATAAAGAGGAGTGAGTGAGAGAGAGAGAGATAGAGAGGGAGGAGTGAGAGAGAGAGATAGAGAGGAGGAGTGTGAGAGAGAGAGAGAGAGAGAGAGAAGAGAGAGAGAGGAGTGAGATAGAGAGGAGGAGTGAGAGAGAGAGAGAGAGATAGAGAGGAGGAGTGAGAGAGAAAGAGAGAGAGAGAGAGGAGTGAGAGAGAGAGAGAGAGGGAGGAGTGAGATAGAGAGGAGGAGTGAGAGATAGAGAGATAGAGAGGAGGAGTGAGAGATAGAGAGGAGGAGTGAGAAAGAGAGAGAGAGAGAGAGATAGAAAGGAGGAGTGAGAGAGAGAGAGAAGTGGGAATACAGCGGAATAGCAACTGAGAAGCGACAGAACTTTCTTATCGCTATTCTGCGGTTTGCACTGTGTGACTTCCAGCCCAGAGTTTGGGGATTTGCTTGTGCTTTCCCGACCCAATCCCACAGTGCAGTCACTCTGAGGAGGGACAGAGGGGGAGAGAGAGGAGGAGAGAGGAGAGGAGGGGAGAGAGGAGAGAGAGAGGTAGAGAGGAGAGGAGAGAGAGAGGGGGAGAGGAGAGGAGAGGGAGAGAGGTAGAGAGGAGAGAGAGAGAGGGGGAGAGAGGAGAGGGGAGAGGAGAGAGAGAGTAGAGGAGGAGGAGAGAGAGAGGGGGAGAGAGGGAGAGAGGAGAGGAGAGGGAGAGAGGTAGAGAGGAGAGAGAGAGAGGGGAGAGAGGAGAGAGGAGGAGAGAGGGAGAGGGAGGGGGAGAGAGGGAGAGAGGAGAGGAGAGGGAGAGAGGTAGAGAGGAGAGAGAGAGAGGGGAGAGAGGAGAGGAGGAGGAGAGGGAGAGGAGAGAGGGAGAGAGAGGAGGAGAGAGAGGAGACAGAGAGAGGAGAGGGGAGAGGAGGAGAGGGGAGAGAGAGGAGGAGAGAGAGAGGAGAGAGAGGAGAGGAGAGAGAGGTAGAGAGGAGAGGAGGGAGAGGAGAGGAGGAGAGGGGGAGAGAGGAGAGGAGAGGAGAGAGAGGAGGAGAGGAGGAGAGGGAGAGAGGTAGAGAGGAGGAGAGAGGGAGAGGAGGAGAGGGAGAGGGAGCGATGCTGTGGGTGGCAGCAGGAGCAGTCTCGGGTCTGGCTGCCGGGGCTCTGGCTGTGCTGTTCCTCCTCGCCCTGGTGTGCCCTCACCTGGGTGAGGACCTGCTCTTCTTCCTCAGGGCGGGCAGCTTCGGCCTGAGGGTCTGCAGGGCTCAGCTGACCGGCAGTCTGCTGACCGTCCTCGACCGCTTCGCCCAGAGGGTGCGGGCCACCCCGGACAAGGCGTTCCTGCTGTACGAGGGTCGGGCTCTGACTTACCGGGACGTGGACAGGAGAAGCAACCGGGTGGCCCGGGTCTTCCTCCGGCTACAGCTGCGGCGCCGGGAGCGGGAGCGGGACCGGGAGGAGGAGGAGGAGGAGGAGGAGTCCGCGGTCAAAGCGGGCGACGCGGTGGCTCTGCTGATGAGCAACGAGCCCGACTTCGTGTGCGTGTGGTTCGGCCTGGCCAAGCTGGGCTGTGCCGTGGCTTTCCTCAACACCAACATCCGAGCGCAGGCACTGCTGCACTGTCTGCACAGCTCCGGGGCCAAGACCCTGGTCGTGGGAGCAGGTAACCCGCACCGCCATTGCTCTACCCCGGAGCCACTTGGGACAGCCAACAGGGGCTTCTGTGTCTGTGTGTGTGTGTGTGTGTGACTGTGTGTGTGGGTCTGTGTCTGTGTGTGTGTGTGTGTGTGTGACTGTGTGTGTGGGTCTGTGTGTGTGTGTGTGTGAGTCTGTGTCTGTGCGTGTGTGTGTGTGACTGTGTCTCTGTGTGTGTGTCTGTGTATGTGTGTCTGTATCTATGTGCCTGTGTGTGTGTCTGTCTGTATGTGTGTGTGTGTCTGTATGTGTGTGTGTCTGTGTCTGTATGTGTGTGTGTGTCTGTATGTGTGTGTGTCTGTATGTGTGTGTGTCTGTCTGTATGTGTGTGTGTGTCTGTATGTGTGTGTGTCTGTATGTGTGTGTGTCTGTATGTGTGTGTGTCTGTCTGTATGTGTGTGTGTCTGTATGTGTGTGTGTCTGTATGTGTGTGTCTGTATGTGTGTGTGTCTGTATCTATGTGTGTGTGTGTGTCTGTATGTGTGTGTGTCTGTATCTATGTGTGTGTGTGTGTGTCTGTATGTGTATGTGTCTGTATCTATGTGTGTGTGTGTGTCTGTATGTGTATGTGTCTGTATCTATGTGTGTGTGTGTGTCTGTATGTGTATGTGTCTGTATCTATGTGTGTGTGTGTGTCTGTATGTGTTTGTGTCTGTATCTAGGTGTGTGTATCTGTCTGTGTGTCTGTATCTATGTGTGTGTATCTGTCTGTGTCTGTGTGTCTGTATCTATGTGTGTGTGTGTGTCTGTATGTGTATGTGTCTGTATCTAGGTGTGTGTATCTGTCTGTGTGTCTGTATCTATGTGTGTGTATCTGTCTGTGTGTCTGTATCTATGTGTGTGTATCTGTCTGTGTCTGTGTGTCTGTATCTATGTGTCTGTCTGTGTCTGTGTGTCTGTATCTATGTATCTGTGTGTGTGTGTGTGTGTGTCTGTCTGTATGTGTGTGTCTGTATCTATGTGTGTGTGTGTGTCTGTCTGTGTGTCTGTGTTTGTCGTTGTGGGTGTCAGGATTCATAGTAATAATCATAATAATCCCTGCATGCGACCTGGTTCCTTATCACTTGGTCGAGACGTCTCAAAGCATTTCACAGAATATACTATAAAGTGGATTGACTGTAATTTGAAAGCAAACACAGCAACTGGTTTTGCACACACCAATGATCCACAAACAGTCATTAAAGTGAGTGACTGACTTTATTTTGGGCAATTTGTTGGCCAGGACACTGGAAGAGAGAAACTGCCTTATCTTCTCGAACAGTGCCATAGGATCTTTAACGTCCACCTGAACAGGCAGATGGGATCTCAGTTTAAGGTCTCATCTGAAGGACAGGTGCAACTCACCGACTTCATTAGGGAGAAATCTTCCCCCCACCCCGGACATTTGCTCTCTTCATCCTGCATTTCAGATCGCACAGAATTTGGCAAATTGTTAGACCACAATTAAACAACAACTCTGAAGCTTTCGAAAACCAAAGCCTGTGTTTAAGACTGCTAGGGCACTATAAAATGCTGCAAAGAATAAATCTAGTCCAGATGGAGTTTTCTCCGATAGTGTGATGGATTCTCTCACCAGACTGCTTGGGGAGGTGTGGGAGGGTGAGGATCTTGAAGTCGACCTGTTTTTTGTAGGCACGGTCGAAGAAGCAGGTCTTCAGGTGGGATTTAAAGGTAAAGAGGATGTGAGGCAGAGAGATAGAGGCAGGGAGTTCCAGAGGTTCTGGGTATAATTGTTGGAGACACAACCATTATAATGCAGGAGACATGTGTCAGCTGAGTGAAGGGTTGGGCAGAGGAGCAGGTCAGAGAGGTAGGGAGCTGTGGAAAGGGGAGCATTTTGAAGTCAACCTGTTTTTTGAGCTAGGGAGCTGGCAGAGCTTGGCAAGGATTGGGGTGATGGGCATGCAGAGTTTGGTGTGGGTGTGGATACAGCCAGTGGAATTTTGAATTGGTTGAACCTTGTGGTTGGTAGGACTGGGTAGACCCATGAGGTTTCAGAAATCAAGGTGGGAGTTGGCAAAAGATATGGATTTCTGCGGCATTTGGTATGAGATGGGGTAGAAGGCAGGAAATGTGGTGAAAGGGAGAGGGAGGGAGGAAGTTGGAGGGACTCCAGGAATGGAGCTTCTGAGAGCATGTGCAAAATGGCGATGGTGGGGCAGATGGGGTGGGAGGGAATGAAGGATCCAGAGTGAGAGAAAGAGTGGGGAAGAGAAAGTGGGGGAGGGAGAAAGAAAAGGAGTGGGGGAGAGAGAGAATGGGGGAGCGAGAAAGAGTGGGAGAGAGAGAATGGGGGAGGGAGAAAGAGTGGGAGGAGAGAGAGAGAATGGGGGAGGAAGAAAGAATGGGGAGGGAGAAAGAGAGAAAGAGTGGGGGAGGGAGAGAATGGGGTAGAGAGAGAGAAAACGGGGGAGAGGGAGAGAGTGAGTGGGGGAGAGAGTGGGAGGGGAGAGAGAGAGAGTGGGGGTGGGAGAGAGAGAGGGGGGGAGAGAGAGTGGGAGAGAGAGAGTGGGGGGGAGAAAGAGAAAGTGAGGGGGAAGAGACAGAGAGTGGAGGAGGGAGAGTGGGGGGAGGGAGAGAGAGTGGGGGGGAGGGAGAGAGAGTGGTGGGGAGGGAGAGAGGGAGTGGGGGGGAGGGAGAGAGAGTGGGGTGATTGAGAAAGAAGTCAATAGCGCATTGCTACATACAAGTATTTCCTTTGGTATCATTTGTTACTTGGAGCAACAATGTTTCCATCTCATCAACGCAGTTGTGTAGTAAGGTATAGTGCTTCCCCCCCGCGATCTCATCCGCAGACATTGGGTCAACTTCCACACACGTATGCAGATGACACCCAAATCCCAAACTCTGCCACCCGGATGCTCACCCGCACCAAAACTCTGTATCCCTATCACACCAGTCCTTGACAGGCTGCACTGGCTCCCAATTACCGAACGGATCGATTTCAGGATCCTCTCCCTTGTTTTCAAATCCCTTCATACCCTCTCACCTCCCCACCTAACCGATCTGCTTAACCACACCACTCGCTGCCTCTGCTCGGCTGGCGCCAGCCTTCTGTTTGTTCCTCGTCCCCTCCGATCCACCATCAGTGGCTGTGCCTTCAGCCACTACGCCCCCAAAACTCTATTATAATATTGTATTAATAATAACCCTTGCATTTGAAACAGTACCTTAGCGTGTTGTCAAAACATCTCAAAACACTTCATAGGATTTTAATGTAAATCGTAATGACTGTATTTGTAGGCAACTTAACAACCAATTTGTGTACCAGAGTATCCCACAAACAGCCTAATTTTATCTGGGGGAATGTTGGGCAGGACACAGTTATATTTGCGAACTGTACAAGTTAAGCAAATATATTTACGTCAAACACTCTTCAAGATCTATCTCAACTGTCCTTCGTTTAATCCGAAGGACAAGAGAGCAGATGAGACAGAATATACATAATATTATGCGCTGAGCTTTCTGTTTCATGATGACACACTGTGGGATAAATCAATGCAAGTGAAACTTCACTTTCTAAATATTCATGTTTAATGTTGTTAAAATGCTCAAGAAGCCAAGCATTTCTGAATGTTTTCTTTGTTCCACTTTTGTTAGGATCGACTTGCAAATGATCCTGGAAGACCATTGGCTGGCTGATATGATAAATTAATGCAATTTTCTGGAGGAAGTTGTGCCTAAGATTTACACTATACGCACTTTGTTTAGACACTTTGTTGAATTTTGTAAATTGAACTTTGCTATTTTGTAAAATCGTATATTAGCTGACTTTCAATATTTGCAAACAATTAGTACATCATTTCATAGCAAGTGAAGACAGGAAGAACTGAGATTGCAAAGCATTTCTTCGCACACACCCAGTTGTGTAAATGTGGAAAGCTTCACCTCGGATAGCTGCAGAGGCAGAATCAATAGGGATATTTAAGAGAAAGACAGACACTTGGGTGGAGAATAGATAATAATAATAATCCTTACATTTGATATAGCACCTTATCATATTAAGGGATATAGAGATGGTGGAGCATGATATTAAAAGATTTGTCATAATTTATAATAATAAATAATCCTTGCATTTGATATAGCACCTTATCACATTGTTGAGACATCTCAAAGTGCTTTACAGGATATACTGTAAAATATACCAGTCCTTGCCAGGCTGCACTGGCTCCCAATTACTGAATGGGTTGATTTCAAGATTCTCTCACTCGTTTTCAAATTCCTTCATGCCCTTGCATCTCCCTACATATCCTACTTGTTTACCCCCCCAATCCCCCACCCGCTGCCTCCGCTCAGCTGGCTCCACCCTCCTTTTGTCCCCCGTCCACTCTGCTCTACCATCAGTGGCCGTGCTTCGAGCCACTACGTCCCGAAGCTCTGGAGCTCTCTCCCTCAATCCCTCTGCCTTGCCCCTCCCTTCCCACTTTCAAATTCTTCCGAAAGATTTTGCTTTTTTGGTTGTGCTTACAGTCACCTCCCGCTCCCTCTCCCCCTGCCGAGGGGTCAGACTCCGCCAATGTTAAGTGCTCCGGGACTCTACCCTGCATGAAGGGCATTATATAAATGCAAGTTGTTGTAGTTGACTCCATATTTTGCGGGTGAAACATGGCAGCCAATTGCACACAGCAACATCCAATCTAATAAACTGGTGAGATAGCCTCAGTGACTTCCTTTTGTTACTGTTTAGTTGTGTTCCTACCGTGGCATATCTGAATATTGGTCTGGATTTTACTTTTTCCCCATTAAGTATAGTATCTAATATAAGATCTCCCTCTGAGACTACTCCTTTTCAGAGCTCAAAGCTGAACCATCATAATCTCTATGAAGTCCATCACCTTCTGCCTCAACCCCCTCTCCAGCTAGATGCTGGTTATCCAACTCCCCTCCTCTGAAAACAAAAACAGAAGTCACTGGGAACACACAACAGGTCAGGCAGCATCTGTGCAGAGAGGAAAATGAATTGACATTTCAGGTTGATAACCTGTCATCAGAATCATCAGTTATCGAACTGAAACCTTAACTCATTTTCCTCTCTCCATAGAAGCTTCCTCCCTGCTGCGTGTTCCCAGTGACTTCTGTTTTTACATCAGATTTCCAGCGTCTTGCTTATTTTGCCTTTTTTTTCCCCCCGAGCTAATCCAATTATTCCATCAACCCCACTCTCCCTCAATCCCTCTGCCTTGCCTCCCTCTTCCCTTTTTTAAGTCATGCCTGAAAACCTTTCTTTTTAACCATGCTTACCCCCCCACCCCCCATCCCAGCTCGGAGTCATGCTCCAGCGCTATTGAGCGCTCTGAGACACTTCCCTGCGTGGAGGGCGCTATATAAATGCTAGTTGTTATCCTCTGCACTGCCTTGTGTTGTGACAAGAATGGTCAGTGCACCATGAACTGCGAACTGTACAAGTTAATCAAATATATTTATGTCAGACACTCATTCTACCCAGTGACCTAAAACTCAAGTAGCTTTCAATAGTAATGATGTAAAAAGTATTGTAAAGATCAGCAGCAGAGTTTTTTTTTAAAAAAATGCAAATAAATGAACGTGGGAATGTTTGTCCACTTGCACGAATTGAAAGCAAAACTCAATTCCATGGATATTAACTCAGACTTACTGCAACTAATGCGTGGAAAACCTCCCAATGGATAGGAAGATTTTGAGCATTTCATGCCTAGAAAAAGCTATATCAGTGCAGCTTCTCGGTATGTAGATGAGCAACAGTCCCGTCGGTGCTGTTCCTCCTACCTTTTTCTTGGTAGTTAGAAGGATATTTGGACCATGGATTTCTCCAGAAGCATGTATCAGTCACTTTCACTAGAAATTTTCCTCCTTGGTGCATTCAATTTTTTTAAAAAAAAACTGCACTCATCCTAACCAGTTGACCCACTTTAGTCTTTCTATGTCCCACATAATTGGAATTCACAGCTGGTTTAGCTGAAGAAGTGAAGGCCAGTGCACGCATAGCAATGCTTTACCTATCAATGCAGCACTTTATGTACTTGGCATTTCTTCAGCAGAAATGTATTGTGCTGGATAGTTTTATGCCAATTTTTGTTCTCTACCTATTTAACGTTGTTCCCAAAGAAATGCATGTCCATGTTTAAAATTGTTATATTTTTTAAAAAACCTTTTTGAGTACATTTTGCCTGACATTCCTTCCTCCGCATTCCCTTATTCATGCACCCACCCACCCCCGAAAATAATCCCCAAATTCTTAATGTGAATAGTTTTCCCTGGCTATTAGGAATTTTAGTCTTTTTATATATACTTAAAAATCGATTCCATGCCAATTGAGCACAGAACTAACAAAATCTTTGTTGTTCCAGCCCATGAAAGCTTTTCTGGGCTATAGTCCTTTTCAGTCAAGATTGCAAAGATCACAAACAATTCAGTGTTGCAATGCTTCCGCCCAATCTCCCATTTGATTAACGTTGTGCGAATACGCTGCCAAATGCAGTACAAAACATTACCCCTGGAAACTAACAAACGTGTAACAATGTTTACTAATGATTTTTTTTCCAGCACTGCTTACAAAGCACTACAATAATATTTGTTTAATAGCCAAGGACTGGTGTACTTTTGTCTGATGGCAATCAATTTTTGTTTACATGAGTGCCATCTCATTGACCACGTAAAATAAGTTTTTTTTTCTTTTTTAAGATAAAGTTTTAAGGGATTGGGAAACAGAATGTATGTTTGTTCTGTTAAAATTGAGTTTAAATACTATGTATTTAATCTATAAGAGCTTTTGTTAATGGATGAAAGTACTCCATAGCTCAACACATCACAATATTCAGTATTCAGGAATTCAATATTCCTGCTACAAGCTACTCATGTAGTGAGAGCTCCAGCCTGCACTTGTCAGATATGAAGTTATCTTCTTGGATAGAGGAGGGTGGGGTGGCAAAGTAGGGTGTCCTTGAATTTGGTGATACACCTGGCAACAAAATGTCAAGTGATTCTGTAACAATCCTGTGAATCTGGTTCTTAAGGCGGCAGTTCCTCAGTACTCTGGAGTACTTGATGACAAACTAGCCACAGCCTGATTCATCAGCAGTATGTGGAGGGCAGACCAGTCACTAACAGAAGGGATTCTTCTCACTCAGCTTCTGTTAACCCTCAAGCCAAAGCCCTAACAGTTGCCCATTCTCACTTCATCTATTTTTATTCCACCTTTCAGCTGGTTCCCCAAATCCCCAGAGGGTTGTACTGTAGATAAACTTTGCTTGCGGGTTGATTGTAAATGTAATGTATGTTTTCTTTTAAACCTGCAGACCTGGTTAATGCAGTGGAGGACATTCTTCCCAATATTCAGGAAAATAACATTTCTGTGTGGGTTATGGAAAAAAACTGCACTCTTCATGGAGTGAACACCTTGATAGATAAAATAGAAGAGGCATCAGAGGACCCTGTACCAGCACCATGGCGATCCCAAATCCACCTGAAGTCTACGTTTTTATATATATTCACTTCAGGAACTACAGGTAATTCTTGCTTTTTTTTGCAAATGTCGTAGAGATAGGGTTGAGAGAGACCATGGAGGCATTCGACTGTGAAATGTGAAAACAGGGTTAGATTATCCAGCAAAATATTTGCTCCTTATTAGATGTTGCTTGAACTGTGAAGTGCACGATTGTTAAAAACAATGTGTATACCCCAAGAATGTATCACTTTGTAACTAATTTTCCTTCGTGAGTTTTTGGTTGTCAGCAGGAAAATGCCATCGCCCTATGATGCTAGATTATCAAGGCATTCTGAAGCATTTATTTTAGAACTATGGCATTAGTGGGTGGCTGAACGAGGAGGGTGTAGAACAGAAGAATGCAAGGCCATTGCAGTGTGCTGGAATCAGACATGCTTTTGAATGAAACATTTTGTTCTACCAGGAATTTGGTGTCATGCATCTTTGGAAGAGAGAGCGAGGTATGACATGAAATATGCGCTTGCCAGCCTTAATATGTGCTGTGCACACAATGCACAAGAAGGATGTTATTGGAGGCACAAACTGAAAAAAAATTGCTTATTGTGTTTACAAATGCCTTTTTTTGTAAATATGTTAAACCTTCTGATCTTTAATAAATGCAATGTTTAATTGGGCCACAAATTCAATTTTCACTATATGCAAACCTATCACCCCCTTGCTTGCCTGGCTCCACTGTCGCCCGATCACCCAAAGGATGAAATTTCAGATCCTCATCAACACTTTTACATCCCTCCACGGACTTGCCCCACCCTGCCTGTGTGACCTTCTAAAACCTTAACCAATCCACCCACTCCCTCCGTTTGACAGGCATTGGCCTGCTTCACATCCCCTGCCCTTCCCTCCCTGCTATCATCAGTGGGGGCTTCAGTCTTTCCACCAGCACTATCTAAAACTCCATCCTCAGGTCCCTTTGCCTCTGCCCTCAGCTCCTTCAAAGTCTGTCTCAAGACTTTCCTATTTGACCGGGCCTTCGGTTATCTTCCCACCCCTCCCGAATCCAACCTCTATACATTCCAGCATTGTGGGACATCCTCTTGACATGAAAGGTGCTGTATAAATGCAATTTGTTGTTTTTGTATACTCGTTATTTGTCACTGAAGGCAAAATTGGAGTTAAAGTAGTAGGTTAGCCTACTTTTATTATTGGAAATTTTAAGAGTGGTTGTGAACTAAGTTTCTTAGATTCTTTATTCCAAAGGTTTTGTGCTTCATATCAGAAGGTGACTGTGCAGTTTCAAAGATGCTGAAGATCTTCATTAGGATAAAAAAAAAATCCATGGCAATTTGGAAAGACTACTACTTTATCTTTCATTGGCTTTGATAAGTGTTTTCCTTCGGAAAACATAGCAGGGATCAAATACATCAACAACTAAGAAAAAGAATAAAATAATTCTTGGATTTGGTATAGCATCTTATCATCCTGTCGAGACATCCCAAAATGTACTCCCAGTTTTACTGTGAAGTATAGTAACTGTGTATTGGTAGGAGAATGTGGCAGCTAATTTGCACACAACAATGACCGACAAATAGCTATGAAGTGAATAACCAATTTTATTTGGAGGTTTGTTAGCCAGGACACCGGGAGACTTCCCTTCTCTTTCCGAATAATGCCATGGGATCTTTAATATCCACATGAACAGGCAGACGGGATCTCAGTTTAATATCTCATCTGAAGGACAGCACCTCTAACACTGCAGAACGCCCCCAGCATTGCAGTGGTGGTTCAGTGTAAAACTCACATTGCATGAATTGAGGGATTCAATAGAAAGAAGTCAATAGCATTGCTACATACAGTATTTATAATAAAGATAATAAAAATTATTCTTACATTTGATACAGCGCTTTTCATGTCTTCTAGACGTCTCAGAGCGCTTCACAGAATGTACTGTAAAGTGAATTGACTGTATATTTGTGGGTGAAACGCGGCAGCCAATTGCGCACAACAGTGTCCCACAAACAGTTGTGGATTGAAATGACCAATTTTTTTTTAGTTCAGTTAGAATAACATAGTTTTCCAAGGGTGCGGACTTTAGCTTTTAATCTGTTCCTTGACAAACTCCGCTGTTTCAATTTAAAACGCTCATTTGGAAATAACTACCCTCAATAAGTAAGAAACAGAAGTCTGGAGTCTAATTCTGTTTGCACTGCTCGAATAATTAGTTTCTAAGCTTGTTACATGAGGCTTTTTAATATTAATTTCTTATTTTAAATGGCTCTCTCTCTGGCTACTGTGAATGTGATTCAGAATGAGGATTAGTACCCTGAATCAGACAGATAGATCCAGGGCCTGCTTGAAAGCGCAGTGACGGCTTACAACGGCAGACATTGGTGGCAACTGGAAATGGAGTTGAAACAAAGCCTTTGGTATTTCCTTTTGTATCATATGTTACTTGAGGCAACAATGTTTCCATGTCATCAATGCAATTGTTCAGTAAGATATGGCTTTGATGGAAGCTGTTAAAATATTTTATTCTTTTAAAAACTAACTATATACGTTAAACCTCAGGTTTATTCCAGGTATCCGAATTCCAACCTCGCTGGATCAGGCGCAAAACCATTTTTTTTAAAAAATGGGCTCTGGTGTGTACTATCAACTCTCCAATCACGCGCCAACCCTGCGCTGAGCAGCCTCACTGTCCTCGCTGGCCTTCTCCAGGGATATCAACTTTGTCTCAGATTGTTTGAATCTCGTGTACAGAAGATAACTTACTCACTATCTTTTGCTTGCGGGATTCAAACAAATACAGTGCTGATACCAGCACTTACTGGCTTTATTCAACACTGTCAGAATGAAGATGAACAGCTATTTGAATTTATAAGAGCGCTCTTCATGCAGGATGGCAACTCTGAGGCTTTGCCCAATACGACACCGGGGGAGGTGACTATAGGATGAAATTTTCTTAAAGTTAAAAGGGTCCAGATTATCGCAACCTGTTCAAAAAGCTTTACCTTGGTCATCTGTGAAATTAGCACTTAATAAAAGCATATCATCAATGTTGAATCATAAGTTTTGGAGATATGAATTGTTGTACAGTTTTAATTTCCAATGAATGAGCTATATTCACATTCATAAAATCAAGGCAACTTATGTTACCAATAGCATTGAGATCTCGGGACCTTGGATCTTTTGGACTATTTCTGTTTTGTTTGTGGATATGGGTTCATTTGTTTCTCTTTATCTGAAATGCAGGAATAGAACACATTTTTCAGACTTGAGGAGAAAATGAATGGGAGAGGAACAGGAAATAGCAATTCTAAAAATATAATAAATAGTCAAATTCATAAAGTTAGCATTTCTCCTCGCTCTGTCCATCGTTTAAAGCACTTTTTACGTGATGGTTTTTATCCTAATGATATTTAACCTTATTTAAATCTCCACCCTACCTTGTATTATGAAAAGAGGGGTTACGACTCTGAATAATATTTTGTTTTGTGGGGTTAATATTTCTGTTAATATGATTTTAAGAACTGTAGGATCAGATAAGATCTTTCATTGCCTTTAGAAAGTAAAGATTTTGTTTGTAGTGGAATCAAACTTACAACAAATAATCAGAAAATAAAATGAATCTCTGCTCATCTTTTTGAGGTATAAAAGGAGTAATTTGAGACTAGTACTGATAAAGAAAGCATTTTCTAAAGTGATTTATTTTAAATGTTCCTGGTTTAAAGCTCCTTTTTGTCTCAAAAGACTGACATTAAGACATTACATAATGTAGGTTTATTATGATTCCAGTTGAAATCATTATTTCATTGTCTCTTAGATCATCTCTTGAATTTTTGCTACCTGTATTTTAATTCATTCCAGGATTACCAAAGGCTGCTGTTATCACCCAGCTGCAAGCATTGAGGGGCAGTGTTGGCTTTTGGATCTTTGGGGTCACGAAGGACGATATCATCTATGTTTCACTACCCCTCTACCATGGTGCTGCTTCTCTCATAGGCATTGGTGGCTGCATCGAGTTAGGTATGTTTTGTTTCTAAAGTAGGTTAAATACAATATGGAAACTTTTTTGTGTGGGTATAAATTTACATTTACTTTGTGGAAAGAAGGAGTGCTAAATCTGATTTCTTTATCCATAAGAACCAATTAACTGAGATGAGATTCGTTGTTGAACTGAGGGTTGGAAGGTTTCCTTTTTATTTCTCTCTTAAACCTCAGTGGGGTTATTTTGTTCAGTTCTGTAAACCAGGATGGTCTAACTGCCGGCCCATGGGCTGCAAACCCCACCTTCCCATTTCATCTGGCCCATCCGCTCCCTCCATAACCCGTAAATAATAGTATATTAATAATAATAATCCTTGCATTTGATGTAGCGCTTTTCACATCTTCGAGACGTCTCAAAGCGCTTCAGAGAATATACTGTAAAGTGAATTGACTGTATATTTGTGGGCGAAACACAGCAGCCAATTGCGCACAGCAGTGTCCTACAAACAGTCGTGGATCGAAGTGACCAATTTTTGAGGGATTATTATTAGGTGTGTGGAGTAAGGAAACTTGCCCAAGGTTTCCCCCTGCCGGGAATTGAACCCAGGTCTCTTGCTTGCGAGGCGTGCGCTCTAACTATTGTTACGTTTCTGGAAGGGAAACACAAAAATTTGCTTATGCGACCCGCAAGCATTTCTTAAATCGTGTGTCCGAACCCCAGCAGCCAAAAGGTTTTAAGCTTTGTAAATACTCATGGGTATTGAGGAATATTGGTCATTTTGCTACTATGCTGGTACACAAAAACTTCCATCTGGTGTTCGACTTCATCTCTCTCCTCAATTCAATCAACGTTCGAAATTGTTGAGGCTCAGTGATTATGGTGAAGATTGTTAAGACAGTAATAATAATAATGCTTGCATTTGATATAGCACCTTATCATGTCTTCAAGACGTCTCAAAACTCATCACATAATATACTGTAAAATCAATTTACTGTATATTTTGTAGACAAAACGTAAGCAATATTATCACAATGTAAATGCCTGAATGATTCTAATATCTTTATTTAGGAGCGACATTGGTGTTGAAGAAGAAATTCTCAGCGAGCCAGTTCTGGAATGATTGTCGGAAGTACAACATTACAGTGTTCCAGTATATCGGAGAGCTCTGCCGGTATCTCTGCAATCAGCCTAAGGTAATGTCTGTAAAATAGACTTCCTTTCTACCTCCCCCACTCCTCCTATAGCTGTAGCTCAGTGGTTAGAGCACTCGCCTCGCAAGCGAGAGACCTGGGTTTGATTCCTGGCAGGGCGAAACCATGGGCAAGTTTCCTTTCTCCACACGTCTGATAATAAGCCCTCAAGCAAAAAAAAACAAAATAATAAATTGGTCATTTCAATCCATGACTGTTTGTAGGGCACTGTTGTGTGCAATTGGCTGCTGCGTTTCGGGCACAAATGTACAGTCAATTCACTTTACAGTATATTCTGTGAAGCTATTTGAGATGTCTAGAAGACGTGAAAACTGCTATGTCAAATGCAAGGATTATTATTATTATTTGTGGTATTGTAGTATAAGCCTCATGGGTAGGAGCGGATAGGGTGGGGGCATGTATGTGGGAGAGCATGAACTTTGGCTGGGAGCAGGGGGCATCTAAGGGGCAAGGAGCAGTGTGGTGGGGAGGGATTTCAAGCATTGCTAATGACCATCTTCAGTGTCACATAAGCTTCATGTTGAAATAACAGAATAATGGGACTTCAAAGGATGACGTGTAGAGAATAAGCTGCAGAGGAATGAAGAGAAAATGATGTGAAGAGAGAGAAGACAGAAAAACATTATAGATTTGGAAGTTCATTCTGTTGAAATAATACAAATTGCTATCTTTATTCCAATTCTGATAGCAAAATACACAATCATTAAACTTAGCAACAAATTCCGAGAAACATTTTGAGACATCCTCCCTATGTGAAAGGCACTATATCAAATGCCAGATTATTTATTATCAACACATTGAAAAAATGATTTTTATATAGTACTTCCATTATTTTAACTTGCTATGTTTGGAAGCCCATTTTTTAACACTTGCAGTTGTCAAGTGGTTGTCTTGGAGTAGATGTACTGCAATTGTCTGTAAGAGTAGCTTCATCTACGTTAAAGAGTGTGGGGGAGTGAAAATATAATTCGGTATAATTTGCCTGTCTTTGGCCTTTCTTTATCAGTCAACTTTCTCTCCTCCTCTGTTCTATGATCAAGCTATTATAAAACACTGCTCTCTGGCACAACTACCTTACCTTTGCAGTCTTTAAACCTATTTCAGAAGAAATTGGTCCCAACAGTTGATACAACCATGATTTATTTTTAAGTTTTCTTTGTCCCCATCCTCCAGTCTGATAGCTAAAGCCAGTTGCATTAATTATTACTTTTAGTGTGCATTTCAGCCTGGGAAATGTTGTTGGTCTTTCAGAATTGCTATGGTTAGTTTCTTATAACTTTTGCAAGAAAATAATGTATGTTACATTGCCCTTTGTTAAAAAATAAAACTTCTGTGTCCCTGAAGTTAGTTTCCTCAGGGGACTTCCGGAACTTTTTAACTCCAGAAATACCTTCCATGATGGTTCTTGGCAGCTCTACTTTTAGACCTCAATATTGATTTCCAAACAAAAAGTGAAATGTCTTGAAGCACAGTAGTCCATTGATTGGTTTTCCCAAAGGCAATACCTTGATACGACTCCCGTTCCTTCAGTAAAGTTCAGTGTGTAATATAAGAACCACATTCTGCTCTAATTATTCCATAAATGTAAGGTGACTTCCTTTCATTGTAGTCAGTGAAAGCTCTATTTAGCTTTCATTGTAGTCAGTGAAAGCTCTATTTAATGGGAGTTTGTCTTCGGCACCAAGTGCTGTAACTGATATAAACAGATGAATGTGGAACAAATGTTTCCATGCATGTATGTATATTACAGCTTTCTGTAGACTGGATTTCTATTGTAACAATACAATAGTTAATTTTACAAAAGAAGGGTTATGGCTTCCAATATTTAAAAATCTGAGACTGACACATTCATTTTAATCTCACTGCGTTCAAAGCTGCCATGGAATATTAAACCTTTTTTTAATGCAATACAAAAGGTATTTTCCTGAGGTTTTTTTCTTAAGAGTATTCCCTCAGTGGCCTCACCCCACCCTACCTCTGTGACCTCTTGCAAACCTACCAGCCCAGCATCTGCCTCCACTTGTGAATACCAACCTGTTTCATGTCCCTTCCCAACCCAACCTGATCCGTCCCATCATTGGTGGGTGAGCTTTCAGCCATTCTGCCCCCGCTCTCTGGAGCTCTAACCTGGAGTCCCTACATCTTGCCCCCTCCATCCTCACCTTCAAAACTTGCCTAAGACCTTTCTTTACAACCAAGCCAGCTCGGGCGCCCAGTCGGCTCTATAAAGTGCATTTGAGAAGTTCTCCCGATGTGGAAGGTGCTTTATAAATGTAAAATTGTCCTTGCAATATAGATCCAAACACTCCATAAATAAATCAGTTCAGGCGTGTCCTATTTTCTCCAATTTGTTTGAAATGTGACTCAACTGGTAGATCAAGATTTATGAATAGAAATAGTAACCCCAAACCTATTGGTTCAACTGGTCATTGATAATGTTGCTTATTATTTGCATTCTAAATGAGCAGTAGGATGTTCCATCTGCCTGACGAGCTTGATCATGCTTAACAAAGTGTTAACCACACACACAGTACGGAGCTGTACCATGCTGCACGCTGTATAAATTGGCTTTGTGCCTTGTTGTTGTGCAACTTCAGTTACTGAAAGCCACTATTGTCAAGTCCGAAACGATTTTTGTGGGAGTTGGTGAAAGCCTTCATACTGTGCTTCTTGTTAGTCTGCGATGCTGTCAACGGGTTACTATCAGTCAGTGACTTCATATTGAGGCTTGCGTAGTGAAGGCAGTGCCACTCTCAAGTTTTCAGTGAAATTGGATCCAACACAGAACAACCTTCTGTTACCGTGATTCCCAGCAGACGCTGGGACATCAGAGAGGATTTTAAAATCTAATTTTAAATTGTTCAATTCAGGCATTTAATCATTTGAACAGCAATTATCCTTTTCCCCATCACTCTTTATTTACCCACAAAGAGCTCTCCTTCACTGTAGACAATATACCCACAAGAGCTCTCATCCACTGTGGACCACTTTAATAGCTGTGCCAGAAAGTGTTTTTATCAAATCATTTTTGAACAGCATTTCACTTCTCAGAATGGACTAAAACCGATGGGATTTTTTCTAATTATTATCTGACTTGAGGACTGACTGAGCCTGCAAACACTATTCATGGTGAGGATCATGTGAACAACTAGTGTGAAAGGATATTAATTAACACTTTAATGATTACAGATTTATGGATCAGTTGTAAAATTCTGCGTTTGTGATTTTACTCTCAATAAATGTGCCCACTTATAATAATAATAATAATCCTTGCATTTGATATAGCACTTTTCATGTCGGGAGGACGTCCCAAAGCGCTTCACAGAATACACTGTAAAGTGAATTGACTGTATATTTGTGAGTGAACGCGGCAGTCAATTGCACACAGCAATGTCCCACAAACAGTCGTAGATTGAAAATGACCAATTTATTATTGTTTTGGGTTTTGGAGGGATTATTATTAGGCGTGTGGAGTAAGGAAACTTGCCCAAGGTTTCGCCCTGCCGGGAATTGAACTCGGGTCTCTCGCTCGCAAAGCTAATATTGAAAGCCGCAATACCAAATAAAACAAGGATATTGAAGTGTATCAGACATTACTAGGGGGTGAGGGTTTTGCCAGACGTCTGTAAATTTATCAGGTATTTGCCATGTGCACTGTTATTGGAATTGAAGTGTAGGCTGTCAAGGGTTGTTATTTACCAATGGAGCCAATCTCAAGTTTTCAACCTGTCTATGCGTTAATTACCTTATCAGCCATATCAATTTTGAAAGAGCTCCTCCTGTGGCCCAGTGGAGTTTGCACTTTGGTGATAGTACTGAGCCAAAGGGGCTACACTTCCTTGCAGGTTCAATCCCAGATCTGTGGTGAATTAGAAAGTCTCAGTTGGGTAGCAGTGTGGGTAATAAAGTCGGCACCAGTGTCCCAGGAAGGAGATGGTGGTGGTGGGAATTAACAGACACTCCGAAAGCATGGAATGAGCAAAGCCAAATTGACCTATCAAGCCTGTTCCTCTTATAACCAGGCAAAACCTTTCTGTATTAGATTTAACACAACCCCTCTGATTTCGGGGAAGGGTGGGGAGCGTATTGCTTAGATCCTCTCAAAGCTCTAAACGCAATTCAGTAAATTGGTATACTTTATCGGGCAGCAATGCATACACGTCTTCTTGCCCTGTGTCACAAGATTTTCGGTTGATAGTCTAGACAGACACTTCTGTACATTACTGGGGCAGCATTATATTGTTTTAGGTGTTCTTTTTCATTAAGTCACTAAATCAAGTTTTTATCTGGCTACTCGTGAATGCCTAGTTGCTTTGGTGTGTGTTAAATAATATGTACAAAACGACTGTCAGATTTGATGAAGAAATGACTGCTGTATTTTACAGTAATTACACTGAAATATTTTGAAGTTAGAAAGATCCCTAAAAATGTTAAATCTCTTGCTTCCCTCCTCCACTGAAGTAACCATTTACTCTGTAGATCTAACAACGATAGCAATGATATGACTGACTTTTTTAAAATTAATTTGTTGAACTTTTCTATTGCATATACTCTTGTCCAATATTAACATTTTTGATTTCACAGGCAGAAGGAGAAAAGGACCACAAAGTGCGAGTAGCTGTGGGCAATGGTATAAGGACTGATGTCTGGAAGGAATTTATAGAGCGTTTTGGCAGCATCAAAATCTGTGAGTTTTACGGTGCAACGGAAGGAAATCTCTGCTTTATGAACTACACTGGTAAACTGGGATCCGTGGGACGTGTTAGTTTTGTTCATAAGGTGAGTGAAAGTTTAATATACTACAGTAATAACAATAGATGACCTGGTTTAACCTACCTGTTTTCTGCACTGTTGTGGAACATTACACATTTCAAGGACTAAACGTCAACACTTGCGTAAAGAATGACTTCCATTTGCAGCATTGAAGTGCAATGTTTTGGTTCATGGTTAATCCCCCAGTAAAATGTTGTAGGTGGACTATTGAAGGTGTCCTCACTTTAGCGAGTTCTATTCAACAAGGGACCGGTTGGTGATGGGTTAATGTTTGTGGAATTCATGGCCCTTTCCTGTGGCTGGAGCTATATCTTAACAGATTAGCTGAGAGAAGAAGGCAGAGATTTTGCAGAAGCAAAAATGGGAGTGAAAGGGAATCGAAGTATTTTAAAAAAAAGGTTTTCAATTACAATTTATTTCTAAATATAATTTCTGAATTTAATAATACTTGCATTTGATATAGCGCCTTATTATGTCACTGAGACGTCACAAAGCGCTTCACAGGATGCATTGTGACAAGGATTGACTGTATTTTCTGGGCGAAATGCAGTAGCCAATTCTGCACAGCAGTGCCCCTCAAACCATTGTGGATAGATTGACCAATTTTTTTTATGCCTGGGTTAGGGACATTTCTGCAGTTGTTTGCACAAGTCTTTATACACCTATGTTTTCCACATTTTTCGGACACTAGCCCATATTTTCTTCAGGGGTTAAGAATGTTGTGGTGGTTTCCACAATTATTTTCAATCCAACTGTATTCATTTATTCTGAGATGCAGACAAAAGTTGTTTATGCTTGGCTCAGTGGGTCGCATAATGACAAGCAATGCAACTTCTTAAGTTACACACCCTTAATTGTAATTGCTTTCCTAACATTAAGTTGATGGCAATGTATCCAAACCCCTTGTGAGTTTTTACAGTAATGAACTGTACTTTGGTATTTGTCACAGTTTTTGTATATTTGTCCACCTACTGTGCCTAAAAACATGTTGTAGGACAGAAATTAAATATTCTGATTTTTTTAAAAAAATTGTATCTCCAGTAGCATGATATTTCTGGAGATCTTTCAGGCCTAAGATATATCTAGATAACTGACATTCTACTCTTAATGGACCTTGCTTTTGATAGAGTGCCATTCACATCAGGAAGACATCTCAGTTTTTTATAGCATTTAATGTAACATTCAGTGACTACATTTTTAGGCAACCGTGGCAGTCAGTTTGCAGTGTCCCACATAGAGCATGTGGTGAGTGACCAATACAGCTTGTCACATTGGAGCTACTTGCCCAAGTGACATTGCAGAATTTTTTTTTAAATAGAGTAGTTGCTTAATTAGCTATTTCTTGGGTGTTCCTAAGTTGGACAAGCAGCGGAAACTTTGGCAGACAGTGCTCTCGACAGAAAACAATACAATTTTAGCTGGTTAAACTCCAGTAGTACCCTGAACTATGGTCCTCAAGCCTTGGGCCTTGCCAACCTGTGCCTTAATATTCTCTGGAAATAGGTAAGCAGAGGGTTTGTTCCTCCTAGGAGTGAGCATCCATTCTAAACCCAGGGAAATTTCCTTGTGTGAGTGGCATGTGTATATAGAATTCTGTTTGGTTTGTATACTCTTAGTCTTGGTGAAATTAGAGTGGGGATTCGAGAACATTTAATAAATGGAGGCTAGTTGTTCTGATCTGAAGCATCAGCCACACCATTGGGTCTGCATTCCCCACAACTGAACTGAAATGGTGGGATAAGGCATAAAGGCTTGATTTCAGCAGCAATACCACTTGCCATTAGTCATGGACAAGTCCTGATCGAATGCAATTAAAGGGAAGACTTCATCTTGATAGGCTGAGGTATGGTCAGATATGGCCTTTGTCTGGCTGTATGTAATCCAGAGATGGGGATTCTCATCTCACAATCTTGTGCGATGCATTGAAATCTACAGCTTTGTTCAAACATGACTAGCATGCTCATGTGATTCTATTATTAGTTAAAGAACTCTTATTGAATTGACTTAAGAGTTTCCTGTTGAATGATATACAAGTAACCTCATTGGAAATATGTCAGTGCCATTGATGGCTCCATTTGCTTTTTTGAGTGTTCTGCCAGAATCACCCTTCTAATGGCCAATGAGCCTTTTTCCTTTTAATTTAAAATTTTATGTCTTTGTTTCTCCTTTAAAGCGGCCCACACTAGAGATTTCCTATTTTGTTAGTGTTGCTAGGATGCATGAAGCACTTAATGTAAATGAAGCGGAAAGGTCACAAAGTTATCACAAGCTACTTTTACCCGTCTCTTGTGTCCCCCAGTTTACCTTTTCCCTTAATATTTGCAGCCTATTTAAAACCATAGTGGGTGTTATGAAAGCGCTTCTCAACTTCCTGTTACTTCAGCTGTCTCTTTTAGCTGGTATTTTGTGTCCTGCTCTCTGTTGCTGGTATTTCGTGTTTCCCAACCCACCTCTGTTGCTGGTATTCCATGCTCACTCTCTATTGTCAGTATTCCAGACTCCATGCTCTCCTGTCTGTCATAGGCTTCTACGTGAGCCTTTTCTGTGCAAATTTTCATTTTTTTTGTTTTGGATATCGAGATGAATGCTGCATTTTGAAAGTGAATGTGTAATTTTTCTGTCTGAAACTTTGGCAAACAGTGTTGCACATTTTGTTCTTCCTGCTTGACTGGAAATGCCTGATGTAAAGATTATATTGCACTATTTGAAAACAGAAGAGTTTCTCCCAGAGTCCTGGCCAACAATCCCACGCATAAAATTGGTCACTCACTTCATGGCTGTTTCTGGGACATGGCTGTGAGCAAATTGGTTGCCACACTTGCCTATATATACACAATCACCACACTTCACAGTAAAATCATGTGAAGTGCTTTGAGATTACTTGACAGCATGATAAGGCACTGATTATTTATTTGTTAAGTATTATTTACTATTTATGTGAGAATAGTGAATTGTGAAAGGTTTATTGTTAACAAGAGTGCACTATTATTGTGTTTCCTCTTCACATTTATTAATTTGTTCTTCTATCTACTCCTCAATCAATTATTTGTCTGAACAGAAAGTATTCCAGATTGTTTAACTTTCTTTCAATACTACTGCCTCATATAATAATAATAAATCCTTATCATGCCTTCGAGACAACTCAAAGCGCCTCACAGAATATACTGTAAAGTGAATTGAGTATATTTTGTGGGTGAAATGCAGCAGCCAATTGTGCACAGCAGTGTTCCATAAATAGTCATGGATTCCCACCTAATCCAACTCACTCAAATTATTTTTAAGGGCTTATTAACCCCAGAAAGCGAACCGCCAATTGATTAACAGCCAGGTTCCTACTTATTGATAGGTAAACAGAGGCCTGTGGAGTAAGAAAACTTGTCCAACATTTTGCCCTGCCGGGAATCAAACCTAGGTCCTCTTGCTTGCTAGACGAGTGCTCTAACCACTGAGCTACAGGACTCCACAAATCATTTTCCTCAAATTTATGTTCCCATTTAAATTGACTTCTTCAGCAGTTATTTGCTTACAAAATATAGTCACTCTAGTTTACAGTGTAGCCTGTGAAGCTCTTTGCGCCATTCTCTTGACATGAAAGACATAAAATGGAACTGTTGTTATTTATATTAAACCCTTTGCATTTAAAAAAAAGCATAACTTCTAACCTTCCCTTTTTTTCTGTCATTTACATCAATTTTCAAGGTAATATCTGTGTCTGTGAAAAAAATGACTGGCAGTTCAGTTATAACACGGTCAGCTAGGTTCAATATCTCAGGGATGGGAACCTATAAGTGAACCTGGAAAAATGTCTGACTTCTGAATTATCTGGTCATTGTTGGTATCACCTCCTATATGTTGGTGGTCTGCCTTTTTTAAATAGACCAAATCTGTGTCTTCAGTTTGCTATCTATTACTTTTTGCGAACTACGTAAGGAAAACAGGATGCTGGACTATGTTGCCAAATCAATTGAGTTCAGATCCCTATAGTTAATTTTCAAGCTATCTCGTGCTCCAGTCAGGCCACACCAAGACTACTGTGTTGTACTGTACTCTAGTCCTGCAATGCGGGCTGACCAAGCCCTAGTTTTAGTGCAGAGAAGAGCAATGAGGATGATCCTTGGTGTTGGAGGAATAAACTTCAATCTTGAGAGGGGACCATATAGAGGTATGGAAGATGTTAAATGGGATTAAAATGTAAACCCAAACAAATACTTTCGGGTGCACTGAGACAGTAGAATGGTCCACCAAATGGCCTGTATCCGTGCAGTACCCTTCTATGTAATTGTATGTAGTTCATTTAAATTTATCAGTTTGTCCTTCCAGCTATTGTATTAATACTTTTATTATTGTTTGTGTTGCTATTTTTGGGTTCCTTATTCCTTTATGATTAGTATTTATAAAATAACTCAAATGATGGATGGGATTCGATTTGGTCATGTGTAAAGTGATTGTTTCAGGAGAAAGAAGTAGCCTGGGAGGAGAGGATTACTAAATCATAGCAGGAGCAGGTCTAAAGGTTATCATGAGATGTACCTTTAGAAGGTGGGAATCTGCGATGCAACATAACTGGGAAATGTCAAAGATGTGATATTCAAATATTTGTCATGAATCATAGCAATCAAACATTGTGACAGTTTTAAATTCCCTAAATTACACCAAATGGAGAAGCGAATCTTTGAAATGAAGGATTCAGGTCACAGTTACTTGTCTTTGTATTTGCAATAGAATTCTTTGATTGTTCACACGGTGCAAGTCTGTAACATGGTAACCTGAAGACCAGGAGAAACACAGTGCAATAATTACAGTAACAATGGGAAGTAAATGAATCCTCCTGGAAAATCTTAGACTAATGTAGAGGGATTTTTTCAATGTCTATTAGACAGGACCTTGTTTTTTATTTAAAAAGTCTCATAGAATCAAAGAAATTGAAGCACAGGAGAGGGCTGTTCCAAATACACCTGTGTGAATTCTGATTCAGCTAAGCATGTATATTTTTCATATTTCCAGGTCTAAGTGCATATCTCACTGACAACTCCGCGTGAACTATATAAATGCATCACCTATATAAATACAAGTTGTTGATTGTTGACTGATCGTATGCTTTTGATGATCTAAGTTTGCCTTTAGGAATGGAATTTCAAATGGAATTGTTCACAAAGTACAAGTGACCAAATAGATAATATTAATATTCCACTACATTATTTAACATTATCCCCACTCTTGTACAAATTGTAATCTCGGAGTTTGTTTTTAACAAAATGATAATTTGAGAAAAGCAAGCCCACATGAATATTGGTGAGTGTTCAGTGTAATGGTTAACTTTGGAATCAATGGCCTCTGTACTTGTGACTTAAATCATTGGTATTGGACTTTCCTCTGTTGCTGATTCTTGTATATTGTCTAGCTGAGTTTGGCTCATTTGGATAATTGCCCATAAAATGCTTCTTTTATTGGGCTGCTTCACTTTCCAGACATCAATTGGTAATAATTTAATTTTGTGTTATAAACAACACCTTTTGTTGATGTGCGACTAGAATGGGATATCCAGTTAACGTGTCCAAAGGCATTGCAGGTTGTACTGAATGGAAGTTTTAACCCTTGATGTGTACAGCCAGGAATTTTGTCATGAGATTAATATATGTTTGGAATCACAGGTCGATCATCCAAAATAGCAAACATTTTATTATTATTTTTATAAAGGTTCTCTAGTTCAGTGATCGGTGCATGTTGGACTATGAGATTGACCTGCAGATGCTTCTTTGAGAAATGTACTATTTTACTACTACAATAGCTTACTTTTGTTCAATGTTTACTTTTGTTCAGGGCCATAGCTTTGACCTTGGGATTCAGACAAAACAAAATTGGTGCACTTCTGTTTGTATATGACGATCGATTAATGAAATTTACTAGCTTAGCTACATTCTTTGAACTGTGATACATATCCACGTAACCTGCATAAGAACACGTTGACAGGAACCAACGAGTATCGATTCTGTCTTGTCAACATTCATCTACAGAAAGTTGAACTGATCCAGGCCTCGATGTCTGACATCAGACAAGTGAACCTGGGGTCATAGTTGGAAGAGAAGTAGATTTGGGTGTTGTCCTCATATGTGACCACATGTCTGTGGGTCACATTGCTGAGAGGGAGCATGTAAATGAGGAAAAAGGAGAGTCAAGGATGGATCCTTGGGGTATGCCACAGTTGACCCCAGCAGCGGCAGAGGGAAAAATTGTTTGCAGAAACGTAGTGATGGTGGTGGGTCAAGTAGACCTCGAACCAGAATAATGCGGTCCCATTAAAATGGATGAAAGAAGAGAGGTGATGGAGGAGACAGTATGATTGACTGTCAAAGGTAGCAGAGAGATCAAGAAGGACAACGAGGCAGAAGGAGAGAGGGGACGTCGTTTATGACATTAACAAGTGCCGTCTTTATGCTGTGGGCAGTCGTAAACCAGACTGGAGGGGCTCGAGTAGGGAGTAAAGGGAGAGGTATTCGAGAAACAAATTCCAGAACTTTAGGAAAGAAGTTGGAAATGGGCTAGTAGTTTGCAAAGATAGAAGGGTCAAAGGCGTTTTATTTGACAGTGGTTTTGAGGGGTGTGGGACGGAGCCTGAGGAGAGGGATAGGTTGACTGTGTTTGCCAACAAGAGCAGAGGGGCAGAACTGACCCTTTGTCAGTTTTGACGAAGGGTTGTGGACCCGAAACATTGACTCACTTTCCTTTCTCTGTAGATGCTGTCTAACCTGTTGAGTGTTCCCAGCGACTTCTATTTTTATTTTCAGAGGAGGGGGAGTTGGGTAACCAGCAGCTAGCTGGAGAGGGGGTCAAGGCAGAAGGTGGTGGACTTCATAGAGATTATTATGGTTGAGAGGGAGAAAGGGGAAATGGGAGTAAGGGATTGTAGGGTGGTGGGCGGTGATAGGAGCCGTAGAGGAAAGAGTGGATGATGTAGAAGGCATGGGAGTGGGGTGTGCTTGGGAACATTGGGGAGGAAGAGTAGGCAGCCAAGCGGATGTTATGTATCTTAGAGACAAAGAAGACCAGGACCCCAGGAGCTCTTCTTGGCATTAGATAAAATAATAATAACATAATAAAGGATGTTAGGAATGAGGGTGATTCAGGTGGTGTGAAGGATGTGATGTGTAGTGGAGAACAAGAACTTTGGATTATTTCAACCTCCAGGTTGGTCTGGGAGTACAATGTGGTTTTGACCTGGGAGAGAAAGAGGTGGTAAGTTTGTAAATGCTTGAGACACATGTAGAGATGAATAGTAAGGCTGATTTTGTGCTATCTGTGCTCGAATGCCCGGGTATGAGATTTAAGGGAACAGAGATGGCTGTTATACCAGGGGGAGTGGATGGGTTTGAAGGTGGTCCTGGATTTCATGGGGACAAGGGATTTGAAAGCGGAGGAGAGTTCAAAGGGTTCTACATGAGTTCAAAGTCCCAATGTGGGGCTTTTACCCACAATCTTCTGGCTCAAAGGTAAGTGTTGTACTAACTGAGCCAGGCTTTTACAAATCAACATAGACATAGATTTGCTATTCCAAGCAACAAATCTTTGCTAGCTCCTCTTTACTATGTAGGATCCAATATTAATAATCCTCCTTGCATTTAACATAACACCTGATCACGTTGTTGAGATGTTTCAAAGTGCTTCACATAACATATTATAAAGTGGATTGACTGTATTTTATGGGCAAAATGATATTGTAAGAGGCAAACTCTTTCAAAAATTTGGTTGTTGCCTGACATGGGATTTGAACCAAAAAAAACTTTGATTTGAAGGCTAGAGACTAGAGAACTACTGATTAAATCAGGCTGACAGCCTGAATTCCATACAAATGAAGAAGTGCTGTTTGTCATTCAGTGCATGCGTGATGTTTCCTGAATCATTCTGGGAACTGTAATTATTTATGCAAATCACAAGCTACATTTTCTCCTTGGGAACCTGGAATAATGCTCCTATTGTATTTTGGCTGGAATTTTTTTTGACAACTTAGACTCCAGATGATCATTAATGTGGGAATTGATTTCAATAACTTAGTTTATTAGTTTGTGTGTCATGCACATCTTACACTGTCCCTTCAGGCATCTTAAATGCAGTTTGTAAAAAAAAATCAGATTGACAGCACATTTGTATATGCAAAAGTAAGTCTCAAACACTATAGGAAAAACTTAGGATGCTTACTTCTACAAAGCAAAGCGCTTCAATAGGAGCCAAGTCTTTGAGTAATCTTATCAGCATGTTTTCTGGAAACCCCAAAGCAATTGGCATCCTTCATTTGGAAGCTTGATTTAAAATGTTGGCACCAATTATCTTTGTGGGGTGACTTGCCCAGCAATTCATGGAGCTATAATACTCCAGCTGTTATTGGTGGTTCAGGATTCAGTCACTAAGCATTTCCCTAGGCTAAGACCACACATCATCAGTCTGATCATCCTATTGAATCTTTTCTAGCTAGGTGTCGACTACATTTGGCCAATGGATAATCTAAGAATTTAGCAAGTGGTAAAAGGGGAGGGTACATTCAATAAAATGTTAACATAAGCAGTAGTTGAAAAAACATTTATCTGCTGATAATAAGATGTGCATTGCACACATACACGCACACTTGAAGTGATCTGAAAAGTAACAACTTACATTTACATAGTGCCCTTCACGTAGGATACTGTTTGAGTACTTTAAAGATAGTACCGACTAAACTTTTTTTGCCTCAACTAACTCAAAAAAGAGAAAGTACTTGGGTTCTTCCAGGGTTCATAAAATGTACTCCTGTTCCAATTACAAGGTTGCTCACCCTTAGTCTCCATAGAGATTGCTGCCTCAATTCTTGTATATTGTTCTCAACGATTGTTCTTTGTGACCGCCAGGAAAGTGGAAGGCGAACTAGATGAACCTTGGCCTTTCTTCGTCTAGCATTTCTTATGTTCTTACGATGTGAAATGTTACAGTACTGGTGACTGGATATTATTTTAAAAGCTGCTTGATGCTGTGATGGGGGAATGATATGGGTGGGTGTTCTGCAAGGATGAGGTCAGATGGATCAAAGGGCCTTCTTGATCCAAACCGATCTTGTGATTTGTACACATTTTAAACATTGCCACGTTCTGCATGCACAAGTACCAGTTTTAATCGATGTCCATTATCCACAGTCTCTATGAGCCAATTGAGAATAGTGGTATATATGATGAGATTCAGAAAGAGCTCTTCCATGAATCTCTTGCAAAGCTAATAGGTATGTAGAATCTCTTAGAAAGGGCAAATTCCCAATTTCTTGTGCATACTTACAATTTGCAGAGTAGCAGAGAATAAAATGAACCACATCTGTTGAGGCCTGCAAAAATAATAGTGTTTGAAAAATTACTATTTAAATTGTTTCCCCGCAGGGCATGGTTGAAGTACGATTGAACAATAAGAGTTTTTTTTAATGGGCAGCTGATAAATTAATTGTTTCAAAATTCGTGAATACACTTGGCTCGGAGGATTATGAGTGGTTTTAGAACAAAATATTTAAACAAAAGGCTTTCACTTTGCAATGCAGATAATAGATCTTCATAGATACAGTTTCTTATTGTTGCAACCCATTTTATGCTTCAGAGATTTATACCATACGAGCTGGTGAAATACGATGCCCAGAAGGAAGAAGCTCTAAGGAATGAACATGGACTGTGCGAAAAAGTTAATAAAGGTATATTTGAAGGGGATCTTTAACTTAAAAAAGAAAATATTAATGCATGTATTCTCAAGCACAATCCAGGGCTGAACCTTCAGATCTGTACATTTTTGTGTTCTGCAGCATGTAAGACATTCACTCACCACCAGAAATGATTGTGTATTCTGAGTAGGATGACATAACTGGGCTGCGCTTGGTGCTCTATTCTGTACTGCTCCAGAAACATTTTATTTGTATGTTTTTTTATTGTGTTCTGACCTGTAATTCTGGATATTCCTAAATTAGCTGGAAGGAAAAGATGTCCTGTTTGTCTGATCTTCGTGATTCCAAGTGTTATGCTTTTAAAAAGCAATGCTGAGAGATCTGTGAGGCAGATTTATGTTGCACAGTCGTGGCATTGTGAATGAGTAGCACTGTTCACAATCCACTGAGACCAGAATGCTAAATTCAGCATTGTATGTTCATGGAACAGGCCATTAATCCACAGTCTCTGTGAGCCAATTGAGAATAGTGATATATATGATGAGATTCAGAAAGAGCTCTTCCATGAATCTCTTACAAAGTTAATAGGTATGTAGAATCTCCTAGAAAGGGCAAATTCCCCATTTCTTGTGCGTACTCACAATTTGCAGAGTAGCAGAGAATAAAATGAACCACATCTGTTGAGGCCTGCAAAAGCAATGGTGTTTGAAGAGTTACTCTTGAAATTATTTCCCCGCAGGGTATGGTTAAAGTATTTTTGAACATTATAATGTTTTATAATATAATAATCCTTGCATTTGATATAACGCTTTTCACGCCTTCTCAACGTCTCAAAGCGCTTCACAGAATAGACTGTAAAGTGAATTAACCGTATATTTGTAGGTGAAATGCGGCAGCCAATTGACCACAGCAGTGTCCCACAAACAGTCGTGGACTGAAAGTGACCAATTTATTATTGTTTTGGAGGGATTATTATTAGGCGTGTGGAGTAAGGAAACTTGTCCAAGGTTTTGCCCTGCCTGGAATTGAACCCAGGTGTCTCGCTTGCAAGGCGAATGCTGTAACCACTGAGCTACAGGACTCCATTGCTGCTTTACTGATCTTGGGGGGAATTAGGGAAGACATTTGTGTCTAACTTGTAAATTGTGACATTTTAAATCCAACATGTTATGGTTTGGAGTTGAGAGTATATACTTGCACAATGCAGGAGCCTACCACATGAACATAAGCATTTCAGTTGTACCAGGAGTTTGACTTGATACACAATTGCATCTACTACTGTGTTGTACTGCAAGCGAACTGGCTTGTCACACTCTTCATATTTTGTACAAATACCAGTTACAATGATAAACATATTAGTTGTATGAACTGGCTTATAGCTTTCCTTTGTCTCTTGTGATAGGTCAGACAGGACTCCTTATATCTCCAATAACAAAAAGGAACCCATTCAGTGGCTATGCTGGAAACAAAAGGTTTACAGACCAGAAGCTCATGAAAGATGTGTTCAAAATTGGGGATCTATACTTCAACACTGGGGACCTGATGTCCGAGAGCCATGATGGTTTTATTTACTTCCGTGATCGAATTGGAGACACTTTTAGGTATGCTATATAAATATCTGAAGCTTCATTATTTTGTCCAGTGAAATTGGGTGATATGAATCTTTCACACTAACCAGGAACAGCCAAGACACCAAATGCTCTTAATAATAATAATAATAATAATCCTTGCATTTGATATAGTGCTTTTCTCGTCGGGAGGACGTCCCAAAGCGCTTCACAGAACACACTGTAAAGTGAATTGACTGTATATTTGTGGGCGAACGCGGCAGCCAATTGCGCACAGCAATGTCCCACAAACAGTCGTAGATTGAAAGTGACCAATTTATTATTGTTTTGGGTTTTGGAGGGATTATTATTAGGCGTGTGGAGTAAGGAAACTTGTCCAAGGTTTCGCCCTGCCGGGAATTGAACTCAGGTCTCTCACTTGCAAAGCGAGTGCTCTAACCACTGAGCTACAGGACTCCACGGGACTCTTGAATGGCTACTGAAGGTTATTGGGTAGAATGTAGATAAAATGGCTAAATTTAATAAAACAAATTGCATTTATAAAGCGTCGTTCATTTAGAGCGCTTTACAGAGACAGAGTTGGACTCTGAGCTGGGGGTGGGGGAGGGAAATGGCCATAAACGCATTCAAAGAGGTAGGATTTGAGGCCTCAAAGATAGAAAAGAGAGATCGGAGATGGAGGAGTAGAATAGGGAGGGAGTTCTACCAGTTTAGGGGTGGTGGGACGGAAAGAGACTGGAGGAGAAGGGAAGCCTAGGAGTTCCAGAGCCTGGGGCTGAGAGGCTGAAGGCCCGACCACCGATGGTAGGGCGGTTGGGGCGGGGGACGTGGAGCAGACCAGAGCCAGAGGAACGGAGGGTACGGGCAGGTAGGTAGGGGATAGTAGGTCGGAGAGGTAGGAGGGAGCAAGGCCGTGAATGGCCTTGTAGGTGAGGATGAGGATCTTGAAATCAATCCTCTGGGGGATGGGGAGCCAGTGGAGGCGAGCGAGGGTGGGAGTGATGTGGTCCTGGTGCGGGACAGTACACGAGCTGCAGAGTTCTGAATGACCTGCAGCTTGTGGAGGGAGGTGGCGGGAAGGCCGGCGAGGAGAGAGTTCCCATAGTCCAGCCTTGAGGTGACAAAGGCGTGGACCAGGGTTTCAGCAGCGTGAGGGGTGAGGTAGTGCCGTAGTCTGGCGATGTTCCGAAGGTGATGGAAGGCGGTGCCAGTTGTAGTGCGGATGTGAGGGAGAAAGGACAGCTCAGGGTCGAACAAAACGCCGACCACCCGATGGGAGTTGCAGGAGATGGAATGGGGAACGCTCTGCAGCCCTAGTTAGCTGAGCAAAGTGGATAGGCAGAGGAGGCGATCGGGATGCCAGAGAGTGGACAGATTTGTAGGTGATCTTGAGGATATTGATCTGCAAGGAGATGGGAGTCACTGGAAACTGACGAGGACTGAGGTGATGTGTGTGCAGATTTGGTGTGGATGAGGATGCAGGCAGTGGAGCATTGGATGATGCAGCTTGCAGGTCTAAACACCTATTTGAGATGGGTGATATGCTGTGAAAAATTCCGATTGTGTATTGGAAGGGGAGTTTAATTTGCAAGGGGGTTTGAAAGCAAAAATTAAAAAAAATCTAAATCACAGAAAAATTGAAGAATGAAGCACTGTCTTCCCTCAGACATCCATCTCGTTCTCCAGCCCTAACTTACACTCTGGCAGCCTCTGGTTATTGCTAACCACGATCCCAGTCCAACCTCTCAGGCTGGTTGTAGAGACTGAAACGGGCATTTCTGATGCCATTTGCAATATGGCAAATTAGACCCCTCTGCATTAATGTCTGCATTTTATTTGATTGGTATTTTGTTTCATATTTGTGAAAATCAGACCTTCCTACACAAAATGGGTAACCTCAAAGGATGGTTGAAACTGGGACTCTGGACTAATTTAAGAAACTGCTTGATCTTGGAGTGGGGAAATATTTTTCCATTAGCATGATATCAAATGGGCCAAAGGACCTCTGTTGTGAAGAACTTTTACTGGGCAGCAATCATGCATAGTGAGTTTTCATAATGGGTTGTATGTCAGATACGGTTATTCATTGGCTATGTGGCTGATGTATAGGGAGAGGTGCTTCCGTTGCAAGAGGGGAAGGAAAAAAAAGTCTTGACACTTAAAATGTTCTTGGTCTTGTATTTTTCTTTCTTTCAGCAGTTGTAAGAATTTTGGAAAATTATTTCATTCAGAGAAATGCCAATGGTGTACATTAGATGAGTTCATAAGCACAAAACATTTTCAGGTGCTTAAAACAAAAACAGAAGTCGCTGGGAACACTCAGCAGGTCAGGCATCATGTATGGAGAAAGGGAAAGTGAATCAAAATTTGAGTGTTGAGTGTTCTCAGCGACTGTTTTTATTTCAGATTTCCAGCATCTGCAGTATTTTTCGTTTTATTTTCACATGCTTATTGGTCTGGATTTTGTTATGTTTTTAGATGGAAAGGGGAAAATGTTGCAACCACAGAGGTGGCGGACATTATTGGAATGCTCGACTTTGTTCAAGAAGTCAATGTATATGGAGTTTCCATACCAGGTATCGTATTGTATCAAAACACTTTCATTTTTCTCAAAGAAAATTGCTCTACATGTATCCTAGTTCATGTTGCAAGCGGTTCACTTGCATTTACATAGCACCCATCATGCAGGGTTGCTTCTTGCTACTCTAGCTCTGCACGGTGATGGAGTTGTATACCGAGCAAGGAAGAAAGGAGGTGACTATAAACAAGGTCGAAGAGGTAAAGTGGGATGTAAAGATGCATAAAGAGGGTGCAAGGCAGAGAGAATGAGTCAAGGAGTTCCAGAGTTTAGGAGAGCAGTGGCAAAGAGGGATTTGGGGACACACAACAGGCCTGAGCTGAAGGGAGCGAGACATCAAACACAAGAAGTCCTGGCAGCAACTATCAATCACCATCAAATGGCATTCATTAACGACCAATATATGAGATCTGAACTCAGTCCAAGCTTCAAGCAATATCTTTTCTTTTAGAACAATATTAAAACAATTCATTTGATCCTTGTGTTTGATATACTCCTTTTCACATTGTCAAAACACCTGAAAGCGCTTCACAAGACTCACCGGATTGTCATCACTGTGTATTTTGTAGGCAAATGCAGCAGCTAGTCTTACGGACAGCAGGGTCCCACAAACAGCCATGAAGTGAATGAGCAAGTTTTAAAAGGGATAAAACTTCTAAAGCTCCTGTGGAAAACATAAGTTTGTGTCACAACTACTTTCTTCACTATTCACTATCCTGGTAACAAATTGCATCATATGTGTAACTACCCTTGTGGGCAAACCCAAACGCATATCAATAAACTGTTGCTTTATTGTGTTTACCAACAGGGTATGAAGGCAGGATAGGAATGGCAGCTATTATCCTGAATCCAGGCCAAGAGTTTGATGGGAAAATCTTCTGCAGTCATATTATAAAATATCTTCCAGGCTATGCTTTCCCACGCTTCATAAGGATCCAGGTAAAATTGTAAACGGAAGACTTCCTCTTTACAATAATAATAATAAGCTTTTTATTTGATATAGCACCTTATCACATCTTCGAGGCATCTCAAAGCTCTTCACAGAATATACTGTAAAATATAGTTTATGGGCGAAACGTAACAGCCAATTGTGCACAGTAGTTTAATTGCTTAAAACATTAGGGAAGGGCGGGGTGATTTAAGACAGGGCAGTATATAATGTATTAGAAGTATCACACTGAAACCACCTTATTACTCTATTTTCAATTTGCAATTTAAATATGTAACAATAATCCTAATCTTTGCATTGAAAATTCCATTAAAAGATCTTATAAAAATAGGCAGTGGCATAATCTATCAAACCATTAAGTAATGAAATGAGGTCAAATTGAATTATCATAAAATAAAACAGACAAAACCAAAAGAAGTGAATGAAAATTCATATGCTGTTGAACATTATGAGTAGTCCTAAATTTAACCCTTCTTGTGCCAGACGTGTTTTACTGTTCTGGATGTTATTTGAGCTGTAGAGCTCAATAATTCTGTAAAAATTGTGTAAAAGATTAGCCTAAAAGTTACATATATAGTTCAACCACATTATTTATCAATGCCAAGCGAGATCATAGAAAGGCAGACTTTTGTTTGGAAGGCAGAGTAGAAGCCAGGAGGAAGAAGAAAGGTAAGATATTTAACCTATATTTAAGGTTTAGAAGGCTTGGATAGTTTGATTAAATAGAAAATGTTTGAAAATAAAGAATACTTCAAAAATAATATCTTTCACTAAGAAAAGTTCCAATCAATGGATCACTAGTTTTGCTTAGTTTCAGTCCTAGACATTTACCTTTGTTCATTTAGATCTATTGCAATGTACACTGCCAGTGTTTCAATGCAGAAACTAATCAAAGCAATTGTGTTTGTTTAGGAATCCATGGAGATGACTGGAACTTTCAAAAGAAAAAAAATGCATCTGGTGGAAGAAGGATTCAATCCCATGAAAATATCTGAACCGTTGTATTTCTTAAATGTTTCTGAGAAATCCTGTGCTTCATTGACAGAACAAATTTTCAATGACATCTTGTCTTTGAAGATAAAATTATGAGCAATATTTGGTTAACTTTTTTTACTGAAGTGCTGCGGTTTAATCATGCCTCTTCAGCATGACTCTCAGCATGTGATGTGATAATGAAATTAATACCAGCTGTTTATGTCGGTATATTCTGTCTAAAGTGACCTATCGGCAAGAGTTTTGACCTGTCATTACGATTGCCTCGAATACAAAATCACCTGATGTTGTGAGTTTGTATATAAAATGTTACTGATATCACTAATGAGCACAATCTTTTAAAACTCTAAAATCATTGTAGCTTTTCAACTGTTCAAAGGACTGTACCTGATGATTTTTTAGCCAATATTGGAGGATTATGTGAATATTAGACATTTATGCTCCTTTGAATCTGAATCCTATGGCAAATTGTACATAAAATGCCAAAACATCAAATACTGTTTGTAGATATACCTGACCTTTTAGCACTGCCATCATGTCCCAAAGCCTGGCTGTACTATAATGTTGTATTAATCATTGTATCTATTACTTTTCCAACTACTCATTGATATCTTAGTACTGCCTTGTTAATTGTATTCTATATAACAAAAACTGTCTGTCCCAATTCTTCAAGTTGCCAGCATATCAATAACTGATTCAGTCCTTATTGTACTATAGGGTTGTATGGAGACGGGTGGCAATTTTTATGCTGTTTTACTGCTGAGGCTGCCTTGGATAATATTAATACCAATTTACATATTCCAGTGGACAATTAATAGAGTAGTTAATGTTTAATGCAGTTTGACTAAAAATACCTGTTGACTTAATTAACTTGAATCACATTGCTTCCAAATTTTACAATCATGTCTTCCACACATGCTATGGATTTAGTCCGGGCCTTTAATAATAATAATCCTTGCATTTGATAGTGCCTTATCACGTCTTTGAGACGTCTCAAAGCGTTTCACAGAATATACTTTAAAGTGAATTGACTGTATATTTTGTGGGACGAAACTCAGCAGCCAATTGCACACAGCAATGTCCCATAAACAATCGCGGATTGAAGTGACCTCTTGTTATTTTTTTTGAAGGAATTTTTACCCACGGAAAAGCAATCCGCCAGCCGACTAATAACCTGGTTCCTACTTACTGCTAGGTAAACAGAGGCGTGTGGAGTAAGAAAACTTGCCCAGCGTTTTGCCCTGCTGGGAATCGAACCCAGGTTTCTTGCTTGCGAGGTGAGTGCTCTAACCACTGAACTACAGGACTCCAAAATAATGTCAGCAAAAACTTTTTTGGACTTGACAGCATAGCAGCTTTGCACCTCTCACACCTGTTCTCAGGCGAGGAAATCCGTACATGGAACAGGAAGGCCACAGTAGCAATATACAAGGATTGTGCATGGGTCAAAACTACTTTTCCTGCGATTCAATATGTCTTGACCTGTTATCCCATGCACACTTACCAGCAAGTGCTGCAATCGCAGTGAATCAAAATGAAGTTCTCCACATGCGTTTATGGATCAAGGCTATGTTTCCCTTGATTCAATGCAGCCAGTAAGTGCAGGAGTAATGGAGGATTGGGAACCTTGTTACGAGTTAGGAGGTGATGAATACTTGAAGTGCAAAGGAATCTCAATGGGACTCGGGTGAATGTACAACTTAGGCGATTATATGATTTATAAAGATAATACTTACGCGAGTTTTACTGAATAAAGCAAGACTACTACATTACTTTTTAAAAAGCTTGATCAACCGAATTGCTACACAACTAGCAAAACATTTACGAAAAGTGCATCTAATCTCTTCTTCAATTTTAATATGAAGTCTCATTTTGGTTGTAAATAATTTCACAAGTAATGGTTCAATAATTTGATTCCAAACAGGTCAGATATAGAGTATGAGTTTTGCACATTTGATGTGTTACTAATTGTATGAGTTTTCATTGTGAAAGAATTTGTATAACTACTAGCTTAATTGTCTAGGTTCAAAACATGATTTTAATGGTTTTAGTATGACAACAGAAGTAGCAAATTTTCCGAGCTGGAAGCTAAGCTTATTTTGAAGCTGTCCACCTGAAGAATGAAACACTACAACTTAAAGTAATCTTTTTGTTGGGTAGGGTGGGGGTGGGATAAGACGCATTATAGGCTTTACTTAGACAGGGTGGAATGTATTTAGTTTACTGATAATTTTTGTATTTTAATATGTTGCTTTACTCTAAGTGATGACCTTTTAGTATATTACAAACTGCAGTAAGAAAAGTGCATTCTGGATATTAGTAATCTTTCTAGATGAGCAGTTTCTATTCCACAAATAAGTATATTTTCTATTTGAAATTCAGCTAAAACACATTGCTATAATAGTGAAGGGATAATGAAAATTATTTGTTTTGATCATACATTTTAGCATAATCCTATTAAGAAAAACTATTGGAATAGTGTTCCTCCAGAAATTTTAAACTCGGAATTCTTGTGAAAATTGTGTTCTGTAAGCTTGTACAACTTTCAAATGCAAAGATTGTTGTTATTATCTGTGGGCGTGAAGGGAAAATTAAACGGTGTCATGTAAATTTCAGCACATAAGTAGGCTCTTCAGTCCACATATGTTATGGTGGCCTCGAAACTGGATCTATCTACTCCCAGCCTATCTTTTTATTTTAAGTCATTTGTAAGACTATAGAAGAATTTTCAGTATTTCTGGAGGGACATGACCTTAGTAATTTTTCCAAACAATGAATGAATTAGTTGCTACTGTTTGTAAATTGTGTAGGAGGGTCAGAGTATTTTATTTACTTATTACTTCTCCCCGGTAGAAGTTTAACCAGTACTGGAACAACCTTCTACTTTATATTAAAATGTAATTGGATGCTGGGTTCTGACTTTGATTTGCGATTCAGGTTCTGTGATCAGATGGTCATCTTTCATCATGTTAGGTTTAAATTGTTGTACGTTACACTTGCAAGGCATCATTACTATAATTCTTTTATTTTTGTAACAAGAGTGTAATTTTTGCTAAGACGTGATAACCTAATTTTATGTATACAATGATGTGGAAGAATACATTCAATAAAACCAGTTTATTCTTATAAAGGGATTTCACTTGTGGTATGTTTACTAATCAACCTTGAACTTGTTTCAGATTCCTTGTTGATATGATTTGGAAGTCTGTTGTGTAAGCAGATAACAATTAATTTTCATCATAATTCCAGTGATGAGCCATTCATGCTCTTATCTAGATTACTGGAAGAATATTTTGCACACATCTTCCAAACTTGTTAAGGGAATTTCTTGTGGTGTTGTGACGAATAATTTCTCAAGTAAAAAAATGGTCATTTACTTCACGTCTGTTTGTGGGACTTCGCTGTGGAAATTGGATGCTGCATTCACCCACAGTACACAGTCATTCCACTTTAGAGTATATCCTGTGAAGTGGTTTGGGACATCCTCCCGACGTGAAAGGCCCTATATCAAATGCAAAGATTATTATTATAAACCTGCATTCCATTCACTACTTGTTAAAGTCCATACTTTTGGCCACACACGGTACACAAGAGATTGCAATACAATGACCATCCAGATTAACTATTCTAAAGGATTAAATGTTTATTTAAATGACAATTTAATAGCAATTATTCCTTCAATACTAAAAACAAATTTTGTTATGCTTTCATTGCTGAGTGCTTTGTAATGTTGTAGAGTGCGATATAATGCATATATTAGAAAAGTAAGGTTCACTAAGAATGCTACTTTTAGGTTGTCAGGATAGGAAATACCTACTTTATATTGTATTGATGATTTCAACAGAAGCTTTCATCAGTGCTATATATTTGTATATTGTTTTCCTTTTTAATAATATGAATTTTCAGTAACCGATGACGGAATGGGTGAAGCTTCAATGTAATACTGCATAAACCCTCATATATTCTCACAGTCCTGACCTGAAAATATATTCCTTGTCATTTTCTTCAGTTACCGAGATCAAGAATAGTGCAGATTTTGCATTATGATGGATATTCTTTGGAATTATAGCCTTCCTTTTCTTCCCCTCCCCATTCTTGTGTCTCATCTTGTGAAACATTCAAATCTTAATTCTGAAGAGAATTAGAAATGAATTATAGATTCTGCAAAACCACTTGCTGCAATATACTTTAGTGTAGAATTGCCCACTGATCCACTGCAGATTATTGTGATAAACCAGCAATATTGACGTCACAACCAGTTAATCTTCTTGTGAAACATCAGAGAGTTGGAGACCATTCACTGACAGTCGGTGTCCGCACAGACATCCATTCTTGGTGAAAACTGACTGACAGCAAAATAAAACCATGCATCAAACCTAAAGTGTTAAAGAATTCAAAATAATAATTGTGAGAAGAGAAAGGTTCTTCAGGGCTGTAATTGAATCTTGGGTTCACCTAACTGAACTGCACAATAAGCTTCAGTTTCCTTGTAAGAATGTCTGAATCTTTAGATCAGACTGCTGCTCTGTAATTGCTCACGGGTATCTTTTCACTTTTAATATATTTCGGGAAGAAGAAATTAATCATAAAGTACATGCGGTGGAGTCTGGAAAGAAATTGAAAATCTATCTTGTTAACTGATACCTGAATGTTCAATGAGACAGAACTTATTTGTGATCCAAGGAGACTTGCAGAGTTGCAACATTGAACAACAACAACAACTTGGATTTATATAGTGCCCACCACACCAGATGGTGTCTTAGAGCGCTTTATAGTTTCGGATCCCGGGACCGAGTCGGGTGGAGGGGAAAAGGTGACCAAAGGCACGGTCGAAAAGAAAGCCGAGACCTGAAAATAGGAAGAGAGGGAACGAGGTGAAGGGAGTGAGGAAGGCAGTTCCAGAGCCTCAGGGCATAGTAGCTGAAAGCACGGCCACCGAGGGTGAAGCGGTTGACTCGGGAGACCAGGAGGAGGCCAGACCCGGAGGAACAAAGGCAACAGGTGCTGTTTTGAGGAGAGAGGAGGTCAGAGAGGTAGGGGGGTGCAGAGTGCAGGAATTTGAATACGAGGATGAGGATCGTGAAGTCAATCTTCTCTGGGATAGGGAGCCAGTGCAGTCTGGCAAGGACTGGGGTGATCGGGGAGCGGAGTTTAGTACGGGTGAGAATGCGGGTGGCAGAGTTCTGTATGAGTTGGATTTTATGGATGGTAGTGGATGGGAGACCGGCGAGGAGGGCGTTGGAGTAGTCCAGCTGAGATGAACCAACCTACTCCTGCAACCAGTTCTGCATTTGGTATGACAAACAGACATTAGTGCAATAATAATAATCCTTGCATTTGATATAGTGCCTTATCACGTTTTCCAGACGTCCCAGAGTGTTTCACGGAATATACTGTGAATTAACTATATCTTCTGGGTGAAATGAGGCAGCGAATTGTGCACAGCAGTGTCCCACAAACAGTTGTGGATTGAGTGACCAATTTATATATCTTTTTTAAGAAATTATTACCTCCGGAAAAGTGATTTATCAATCGAATAGCAACCAGGTTCCTACTAACTGCTAGGTAAACAGAGGCATGTGGAATAAGGAAACGTTTTGCCCTGCTGGAAATCGAACCGAGGTCTCTCGCTTGAGAAGCGAGTGCTCTAACCACTGAGCTACAGGACTCCACATGTACAGGACTACAATATAAAACTATTGTAAGATTTATAAAATCAAATCCATAATTTTTAAAAATTCTTCAATTGGTCCATCAATTCCATACTATAGTGGAGTCCTGTGGCTCAGTGGTTAGAGCACTCGCTTTGCAAGTGAGAGACCTGAGTTCAATTCCCGGCAGGTCAGGGCGAAACCTTGGGCAAGTTTCCATTCTCCACACAGAGCCTAATAATAATCCCTCCAAAACTAAAAACAATAATAAATTGGTCATTTTCAATCTACGACTGTTTGTGGGAGATTGCTGTGCGCAATTGGCTGCCGCGTTTG